CCCCAAAACCCCAAAACCCCAAAACCCCTTTTGTCTCACCAAAAATTGAACTGTCAAAATCAGGATTTCCTCGTATGAAAATCAAGGATAGCCAAACTTAATAATTTAAAAGGCCAAAATGGTAAAACTCCTTAATAATTTATTTCTATTCCACTCCCTCATATACAATGGAATCAAGCCAGGACTCGAAGTACTCTAGGTTGGCAGCTGGCGCTGCCAAAGTGTTCTTCCCGATTGGGCTCTATCAGAAGTATCAGAGCAAGAAGAACCAGAAGGCGATTTTTAAGGAAACAGAGGTAAGATTATTGGATTGAGGGAGTTTTATGGGGAATTTGGGAGAGGTAGACATTTTCGTCTCCAATTGTGGAGAAGATCTTACAAGTCTCCTTTTCTCATCCTCAAATCTTTTTCAAAATCATATCAACACTTTAATTTTGCCTTCAACCACTTAATTCCAGTTAAACTCACTCAATCTCCAAATTCAAAAGCCTAACATTTTGAGATCCCCACTCTAACATAATTTAGGAATTCGTGCAGCTCATTAAAGACGGAAACATCGAAGAATTCAAGCAGAAATGCCTCTCAACTCCTGTAGAAGAAGTCAAGAAATTGAGGATGTTCCCTGACTATTCTCTCTTAATCGCTTGAGCCTGATTCAAAGGACACGAAGCAGCTAGATTTTTGATCGAAGAGCTCCACTTTGATGTCGATGAACAAGCCAAGAATGGAGAAACCGCCCTTATTAGAGCAGTACATTTCAATGATTACCAAATGGTAGAAATTTTATTACAATCTGGGGCCAATGCGGAGCTCAGGTAGGAACAAATTCTTACTATTTTAGAACAAAACAAGAGATAGGAGCTCTCCTCACTGTGGTTTCTAGAGATAGGCCTGCTTTAGTCGATCTTTTGCTCAGATATGGTACTTGAATAAACCTCAAAACTGACAACAAGGTAATTACTGGCTGCTAACTCTGTAGGCTATTCAAGCAGTTGTTGATGCTTGCTCTGACAAGGTCAAAAGCGTTATTAGCTTCCACCAAGGTAAAGTTCAACTAATAATCTTTTTAGCCTGGAGAAGGAAAAAGAATATGCTAGTGATCTTAGATAACCTGAGTCAGGACAAGCCTAAAGAGATTCTCAAAAAGAGTAATTATCAACCCCTAATAATGTAGAGAATGACCCATTAGGTATTATGAATAAGAAGCCAGACTTACTTAAACTCATCATCCGAGATTATATGTAAGAAACATTTGGTTTTACTTTATTAAACATAAGAATTAAGTTCAATAACCCTCTTTTCACCTGGGGTTTTGGGGTTTTGGGGTTTTGGGGTTTTGGGG